TGTTCGAGTAAACTTGGTAATATTCTACTACGTTCCTTTTGGTTTAGTAGCATCTTCAATGCTGTAATGTGCACGGTGCACATGTGGCATGAGAGATAGTCACATAAATATTAGTAAATAAATAATCTCTCTCTTTATTTAAATGATTTTATATAAGTTTGGCAAATTTTTCCACACAATGTCAAGAATACCGTGTAGATGTTGACATTGTGGTTGACATTGCTTGAAAAAAAACTTACCAAACTTGTATAAATTCATTTAAATACGGAGAGAGGTTATTTATTTACTAATATTTATGTGACTATTACTCATGTCACATGTGCACCGTGCACATTGTAGCATTGGAGATGCTCTAAGATTATGAATACATCCTTTGAAAATTGATGAAATTTACTACAATGCCTTATGCATTTACATGTAATTAATTATAGAAAATTAGTGGTGTAATTAGGACCTTTTTTTTGAGTTCCACGTAGCTCGAAAAACAAACCTATTCCTATATTATTTACTTAAAAGCATTCAAAATTGAAAAAAAAAAACAAATTGTCTAACCTGGGACGAGCCGAAGTTGCCCAATATAAACTAAGCCCTTCCACACATTTGATATAAATGTATCCGTATAACATTCTTCTAAAAGTAGGATCATATGTTTGATTTTCCTTAAATGAAATTAGTCATTCCATTTCTACTTTTAATTTAAATAATTAATTAATTAACCTAATCAATTGTCCCATAGTTCCCTTGCGTAACAAAGACCCGTCTGTTGATGGTGGATCAACCCGTGGTGACAGCAGTGGGGGAATACCGGTAGATTGGTGGAGAAAAAATTCAAGGGGAAAAGTCTTGTGTGAGGCAGTGGTCTGATGACTTAGGGGCCGAGGTGCTCTAAACTTATGAGAGTATTTTGGTCCAATAACACATGAAAAGGTCTATTTAAGGCATTTTAAACTAGTACGTCTTATTATTCAAAAAAACTATGTTTTGATACTTACTATTCAGGTAACTCTCCCATTTTTCAATAGTATTCTATATTTAAGTTTACATAAAATTACTTTTGTAGTTTAGAGATATATCATCCTTTTATGGATACTAACGTTATTGTTAGGTAGGTGACAAAGTATTAAAGATAATGTATAATGTCAAGAATTTCTCAAAAACTTCGGAATGCATCAAATGGTGAAATTACAACTGAAAATCAAAGAAAGTAACGAGACAGAGAGTCTCAATTCCCCAACTCAGTTCTAACTAAATGCCAGCCTACTCAACCTTCACCACTGCTGCTATTTATTTCCCTCTATTCCCTCACTTTGTTATACGGAGTAGTATTTAATAACATTTCTAGCCCCATACAAGTCATTCATGTTTCTATCAATTCTCCCCTCCCTAAAAATTCAGCTTGTCTCTAGGTGAAAATCTAGAAACTGCTCCTAAATCATGTGCAATGCTTTCTCAAGAATTTTCAAATTTGGGTACATCCTTTCAATGTATGAACATTTCTGTTTTTCCTTCTGCATTGATGCTTGAATCCACCACTTTTTCAGGCAACTCCTGAAGTTCTCATTCCTCATTTAAGCGCGTAGGAAGAGCCTGTCATGGAATATTAGGAGACAAATCCTCCTTGATTTAGGAAATGTGGAATACAGAATGTATGGTACTGCCTGGAAGTAATTTTAGTTTAAATGCCACTGAACTAAGCTTTTATATAATCTCAAAAGGACCATAATACATTGGGCTCGTATTCTCATTAATCCATTTGGCCAGATTTGCAACTTATAGGGTTGTATCTTCAAAAACACATTTTCTCCTACTTCCTACTACCCTTCTCTTCTATGCTTACTAGTATGTTGCCTCATCTGTTTTTGAGGAATGGCTAGGTTTCATTTTATCTCTTCTAACTTCACATTTCTCTCGGCTGTAAGTCTCGATACTTCTTTTATGACAGTAAGGGTCACATCCCATTTTATGACTGTTAGAGGATTTTGCTCATATAAAGCCTTATAAGGTGTCTCTTTGAGGAATATGTGGTAGTTAGTGTTGTACCAGAATTCTGCCAATGGTAACCATTGTCTAGGTTTTTTTCATTTAAGCATCTTAGGTATGTTTCCAGACATCTATTGACCACCTCTATCTGAATATTCTTTTAAGTGTGGTAGGTTGTGTTGTATTTTAACTGAGTCCCTACCAGTTTGAACAATTCAGACCAAAAATAGGTGAAGAATATACTATCTTTGTCACTCTCTGTGGATTTGGAAAATCCGTGTAATTTAACCACTTCTTGGATAAACACTTCGACTACTTCTTTGGCATTGTGGGGACGAGATAGAGCCACAAAATGGGCAAGTTTGGTTAAGTCTGTAAACTAAAACCAGTATGCTATCCTTTCCTTGCGCCTTAGGCAGACCTCCAATGAAATCCATGCTGATGTCTGTCCATACTTGATTTGGAATTAGTAACGGGTGACGCAAACGAGCGGGTGATAGAGCTTGATACTTATCTCTTTGACAAATATCGCATCCCTGCACATAATTCTTAATGATCGTCCTCATGCTTGTCCAGTAGAAAAGGTCAGAAATTATCTTCATTGTTCTGAGATACCCTGAGTCCCTGAGTCACCACCCGTTGTAGAATCGTGATATTCCTTGAGAATTCTGGCTATTCTCGTAGACTCCTTAGGTAACACCAATCTTCTTACATAATAGAGTAACCCCTTTATTAACTGGAAATCTGGGAATTTATCAGGTGGAGTTAATTATTTCTGAATAATGTCATGGCATTTAGAATCCTTACTAACTCTTCTTCTGAACCCTCCCATTCCTAGCAAGTCACTATGGACAATGGATGTAAACTTTGTTTCCTTGAAAGAGAATCCACATCTTTATTCTCGGTTCAGCAAGAAACTTTAGACTTCTCTGATTTGTGCGGACTTCAAACCTCCTGCTTAGTAAATAGGGTCCCCACTTTTGAATGGCTAACACATTGGTCATTAACTCTTTTTTCATAAACTGATTTATTTTTGTTCTTCAAGGATAGTTCTTTACTCATGAATGTAATGGGCTTGTCCTCCTACCTCAAGACTGCCATCTCAAACCCTTTCCAAAAGCATCAGTTCCCTAGATAAACAATTTGTTAACACCTGGAGCTACTAAAAATGGTAAAGATGCCATGGTCTTCTTGAGTTCTCCAAATGCTTTACTTGCCTTAGGATCCCAATGGAAGTTATTCTTCTTCAGGAGGGTCGTTAGAGGTGCAGCAATTCTGCTATAACATCTTACAAATCTTCTGTAATACCCAGTCAGTCCAAGGAAGCCTCTCAACCCCTCTTGGTACCCTAAGGTTCATACCAAATTGACCATTGCTTCTGTTTTGCTAGAGTCAGTTGAATTCCATGATATGAAATGATGAGACCCAAATAAGCTAGTTGAGTCTGCCCAAATGAGCATTTTTTCAGATTAGCTACCTATTGGTTTTCTTTCAGAGCCTGCAAAAGTTTCCTCAAATGCTCCTTATTCTCCACTTTTGATTTACTGTACACAAGAATATCATCAAAAAACACCAAGGCAAACCTCCTAAGAAAAGATCTTAAAATTTAATTTATTAGGGCCTGAAGTGTAGATGGAGCGTTTGTAAGGTCAAAGGGCATCACTAAATACTCATAATGTCCCTCATGTGTACGAAAAGTTATTATGTGAAAATTAGTCTCCTACATTCTTGTTTGATGATATCCAGACTTCAAATCAAGTTTGGAAAACAGTTTGGCTCCACCTAACACATCCAACAACTCTTCACTAACAGGAATTGGAAATTTATCTGGGACTATTAGTCACCAAAGAAATGCCAACCTCCATCATTCTTCTTTACTAGCAAGATAGGACTACTGTAGGGACTATCATTTCTTCTTTACCAAAGAAATGCCAACCTCCATCATTCTTGATTTATGAATCTCATTCTTCTAGTGGTGGGGTACCTATAGGGTCTAATGCTTGGTATGCTAGCTCCTTCTTGTATATTAATAGTGTGATCATATGCCCTAGCAGGTGGTAGATCTTGGATCGGTTGGAACACTTTTGGAAAGTCTTTTAATATCTCTTCCCATGTATTATCTTGTTCTTTTCATTCATAGAACTTAGTGGTGTATCCTCACAATATAGCAAATACCCTTCCCCTGTATGGTTCAGAATTCGAGTCAAAGTCTTCATATAAATCTCCATATTGTTTAAAGAGGGGTCTCCTCTCACCGTATATTTCTGACCTTGACCTTGACCGTATATCTTCACATCTCCTAAACTTTTTTGCCACTCCATTCCTAACACGATATATGTCCCTCCTAGGTCCATAATATAGAATGTTTGATGGATTTCAGTTCCCTGCATCTTTAATTTCAATCCTTCACATATTCCATTGTTAGTGATTATGTCTCCATTTCCAATTAGAAGATTATATCTCTTGACAGTGTTGTAAGGCAATTTTCATCTACTCACTAACTTTTGGGATATAAAGTTATGTGTAGTAGCTCCACTATCAATTAGCACATATACCCTTTGTTCCTATGTTGCCCATCGTAAGTATCCTCCCACCTTGAAAGTTTTCATGGTTGGAATGTCTTCTTTGCTCATTAAAGACAATTGCATACCCCTAGATTCCATCACATTTCTTTCTCTCTTTTGTAGTTTTGTTGCATTGGTTGTGACTTTAGAATCTTCTTCTCCATTAGAAGTTTCCATCAGAACAAATTTGAAACGCTTCATCTTACAAACATGTTTTTAGTTCCATTTATCCCCACATCTAAGAGAGGTCTTGCTTTCCACGATCTCTCTGTCTTCTTGGAGTAGCTCAACAACCGAAAAGGGAGAGGATAGTAACGGAGGAGGTACGTTCATGCAGTGGGCCGTGGTAGGGGTAACCTAACAGCATATGATGAAAGCTAATTGTGATCAATTTATTCAATTATGAGGGAACAAGCCTCGGCACCTAGATTATAAAAAAAATCCCCTAATAATAATGGTACGATAATTTAATGTAATGCAATCTCAAATTAAATGTTTCAACATCTCTAGCTTGCGTGCTGTTTACAAATTGATTCAACTTTCATCTTCAAGCTCAATTTTAAGAATGTTTTCCAAATTGGCCAACACTTATTTATACAGGGAGAAGTACTTATATCCACTTGATATAAGGAATAACAATATACTCCGTATAATCTACATTGCTGCAATATCATGCAGGAAAAAAGATTTAGGTGATGTAAAAACTTAACTTCAGCCCATCCACAGTTTTGCATGGGAGGTCAAAAATGCCTGGGCCAAAACAAAGTGAAGTACAAGAAATGGAAATGCCAGACAGCTCTTTATCATTTACACCCAATTATAAAAAGATTGAAGCAGTTTGGAGTGAAGGTGGTGTTGGAGTAGACGTTGCATTATCTGTCCAGTTTGTTTCTCCCCAGTGCCACAGCATACTCTCCCAGAAGCAAAAATCTTCGAAACAGATCTGTAAACGGGGATCTTTTATCTTGATCTTCCAATGGCCATCTGTGAAGTTAGCTTTCTCGGCTTCCATTCGATCCCACTCAAGGGCAGCCTTCTGTTTGGATCTAAGCAAGCAGTATTTGTGCAGGTTCTCGGGCATTGCGTCATGGACTTTCCACCATGTCTTGTGGGCGACATCACTTGCAAACTCTTGCAGTTTCCCAACATTCCAGTTGCAATCATAGTCGCGGAAGCACAACCATGGTTTCAACCCTAAATAGTGAAGGACATAGAGGACAGGAGGGTCAGCACCAAAAAGTTGAGTTTTTCTGTCTTTCTTCTCCTCTTCATCACCTTCCCAGTAGTGTTTCAGAAAGTTCATGTGTTTTGGGATTCGGTGCCACCATGTGAAAACCTCATTCAAATACCCCTGGTCCCCACCATTGTATGATTCAATCTCATTAATATGATCCATCAACAACTGGAAAGTGCAATTTGATGGTTCAACCACCATCACCCCTGAGTTAAACAGTGTAGCATTATTTCCTATTGCAGTTATTTCTGGCATCTCGAAGAGAAAGTCGATGTTTCTTAGTATTAACAAATCTGCATCAATGAAGACGATTTTGTCATAATCTGTCAGCTGCCAGAGACGAAATTTGCTGTAGTTCCATTCATTGTATGCATCTCGTTCGGCTTTTGGGTTCCTGATTCTTTTTATTGTATGAATTTTCCATCCTGCTGCCTCCAACCCTCCCCTGTGGTAGTCACTTATTGTCTCATCTACAAGTATCACAAGATCCCGAGTAGAACCTGCCATGCGAATACTCTGTGCTGCAGCTATTGCCCCACATACATAAAACTGTGCTGAGTGCAGGATTGTTGCATAGGCTTCTCGACGTGCATTACTTGAGTGCCAGTGCTCTGCATAAAAAATAAAAGCATTACACGTAAAGAATAAAATGACTTCACTCTTTGTATTGCTGCTCAGTCAGAGAGAATTCAGACCCCAAAAAGAGTTCCAAATAGAATTAGTTGTGGTCAACCTCGTTCTAACATAAACCCAGCAGGCCTGTTTCTGAACCAGATGATGAGTTCGGAAAGTCGCAGAACAATTCCATCATCGTCATCATATCCTTAATCCCAACTATGTTGAGGTCGAAGGCATGAACTCATAGTGACTGTTAATTGTCTGTTTAGTTCGGGGTGAGGGGAAAGAAGGTGCTGTTATATACTCCGTAATATCTTGCCCTTATTTTATACTTTTTCGGTCCCATTTTTAGTATCCTACCCGTGGAACAAGGCAATACCAGAGGCAATTTCATTTTTTATTTTGTTGTATTAAATATGAACAAATAAAATTTAAATACTTAAATATGAACAAATAAATGACTAGTGGCATGACAATTTAACAATGCAAGAATATTATAGAATTACTCTGAGAAAGAACATGCAGTTTGATCAATGATTCAATGAATAGTACGTACGGCGTTAATAGGGAAAACAGGACTAAAGAAGTGATAGATAAACACTTCAATCAATAAATGAATAATTACAAATATTACGATACATCTATTCACCCAAAAAAGGTTGGTATTCAATCTTCAATAAATAATTGTAATATATTCAATGAGAAATTATATTTTGAAACAATTAATCACATGCCATTTAAATAAAATTATTTATAGTCATAAATATTAATTTCAAGAAGAATAAGACATCAAGAGAGAAGAGATATGTAAGATGCATAATGGGAAGAGAAGTGTGATAAACAGAATGGAAAAGTACAAAACAAATTTGCAAGTGTGAAGATAATTTAGTCCATGAGATATACTTATTCACCATCTTCCGCATTCACCCATATTTGGAGGGGGGAGGGAAAATGTTAGAATAAATCCTATCTCCTCATAATTTCACTACCCAGACAAGTGAAAGAAAGAAAAAAATGCAAAATTGCTCCCCTCGCCTTCCCTGCTTTTGAACCAAAAACCGTGTGTCTAAACTTAGATAACAATATGCATTCATGCAAACAAAGAAAATGACAAAGTTTTAAACTGCTTGTCATTTCGCAAATTTTTAGAGAGGAATAATGAGATGAAAGGAAGTAAATGATTCACAACTGACCTTTAGCTTTGAGAGGTACTGCAAGTTCACATGATCCCACAGGTAGTTGAAGTTTTTCCCTCAGAGTGTTTAGATTTGGTTTATACAACCACATATTTCCTTCGTGCACAACTAGATCTTTACAAGTAAACAAATTTGGAGTTGGAAAACATTCAGTGACCAAGAGTACATGTGCTTCATGATATCCTTTTGCAGAGGCAGCAAACCCCGCTGCTGCAATTTGCAAGTGCAGCCGAGCCACATCTCTCATCCAGTCCCCAGGCTTCTTGCACGGTAGCTTTACTGCTATGAGATGAATGCGGGGTTTGCGTGGAACCTGAAGCTTGGGCAACATAGGACAAGTGGGAACCTCAAATTCTTGCTCTTCATCTATCCATTCAGGGTATAATGTATCCCAAGTAACATTGTTTGAGACATAATCCAGGTTCAAGATCACATGCTCCGCATCAGGTAATAGTTGTTCCCATTGATTAATTTCATTGTCATTAAAGTTTAGCAAACCAACAACAAAAGATTTATGAGTATTACTTAGTTTCCCAATAACTCGTGGCATTTGGTCCCATTCAATATCTAGTACAGATATGTATCGTTGATCTACAACATCCTTTCTTGTCTGTTTGTCTACTAAAATTGGGCTGCACCATAATCATTCAAAGATAGGAGTAAAAGAGGCAAGTGTAAGGATAGAAATGAATCAGATGACTAAGATTTATGTTATGCATTTGCAATCAGGAAAAGCAACAGCTTCCTTTGCATGATAAATGAAAACTGACACTTTACTAATATGACGCAAGGGAAAACTATTGGTTGCTTCTGGCATAAACAAAATTATCAGAGGGGTATCCAAAGGGGCTCTAATGAAAAAAATCAAAAAATGATAAATAAATGAATAAATAAAACCTTACCTAGATCTTGGATTTGGTGTAATATCAGAATGAACTTTAAGAGAATGCCATAGTGTAATTAACGCTCCCAATGCAATAACAGCAAAGACAAGGTTCAATATAGAAAACTTGCAGGTCAAAGACCTATCTTTGGTGGGACTGAAGAGCGCCTTATCCCCCTCTCTGGAACTTTTGCTTCTAAAAAGTTTCTTTTTACTGGCCTCCTCGCTGAATACAACAAAATCTGATTAACATGTAACGATAGAACAATTCAAAGAGAGTAACAAATAGTAGAACTAGATTGGAGAATGGTTCATGTAAATACAACTAATTACAATAAAAAAATGTTATCGGTACATGGAAGAAAATAAAATCGAAATCAAATAGGCGGAAACATTCAGGTGGAATTGTGTGTACTCAATTCAAGACTTCAAGTGCTTTCTGACACGGGTAGTAATAACTTACACACTGGTTAAACATATTTTGTTAAAGAAGGCTCACAAGTTTGGGAGTGAACCTAAGGTTTCGGTGTTGTAAATATTAAAAGAAAAAACATTAATCGAGGTAAAAATGATTCGATTAAGGGCGTATAAATTTGCTACTCTTTTTTAGAGCAAGCATGAATGCATGCTTTGAGAGCCCTGTGCACTAAGCCCGTGCTTTTAAATTTTAATGACAAATTATTTGTTTAGGCACTCTCGTGTACAGACAAATTACCTTTTCATCAAAACAATAAATTTTAATGACAAATTATTTGTATAGGCACTCTCGAGAAGAAGTTAATGAGCATAGAAAGAAAAAGTGCAAAGCAGAACATGTCATCTATTTGTTAACTAGACAAGCTAGTAAAGGGACAAATCAATTCACTTGTCATTTTGTCAGCAGGACAGAACACAGTAGATGTTCAGATGGCTATGAAATACTGAATCTAGATCAGATAGTTTATTATGTCATTCCAACTGAACTCATGGGTATCTAAAATCAATATAAACTCCCTAGTGGAAAGTTGACAGTAGGATATCTGCCTTCTCACAGAAAAATGAAACATTATAAATAAATTGAGTAAATAATTAATTGAAAAATAAATAAATAAATAAATAAGTATTTTAAAATGTCATGTGGTCTTGTAGGTGAATTTCCCCATATCTTTATACCGAAGGATAGGCAACTGCTAACCCATTTCAACCCTGAAAGTTATTAAAAAACCATAACCTATCCATATTCCATTAGGTCACCAACCATGTAAAAACTTATAAAACACATTTCACAGTGATCAGAGTAATCAGACAATGCCCTATTTGTTTCAAATCAAATTTTAAACTTCAACTTTACTTCCTCTCCTTCCCCGTAGGCTCACCTTAAACAAAAAAATAAACTGAAAAGAAAAAAAAAACTCCTACATTAAACTATCCTGAATGCTTAAAACTCTCAAAAGATCAATGCTAACAATTCATTTGTTTTCCCGCCCTATCCATCAATTAAAATCTGCACAGACAAAAATGTACCACAATCATTTTCAGAACCACGCACTCAATTGAACAGATTGTTTCATGTGCGAAAATACATACTGATTAAGGAAATGCGCACTCCTAACTTGACTCTGAAACCAATGTTATAAAATCTAAATAGGGAAAATTTCCCATTCTTATGCTTGATTGCTTGAACAGCACTCAGCGATTCAGACAACAACCAGAAACTCGTGATAACGCTGAACAGATCAAAGAAGATGAAAAAAGTGAGGGAGCGGAGAGCTTACCAAGATGCAGAAGAGAGCCTGTATCTGGGCTCCAATAGATTAGGAGAAGAAGTACCGCCTCCACCAAGGATTGCCCTCATTTTCACCTTGGTAGCAGCAGCTTCGTGAGTTGGAGAAGACAGTATCTGATTCCGATCCGAAGCAAGAACCCCAAATGTAGGACCTTGAGCAGAGCAGAGTTGAAACTTGAAAGCGATTGTATATGATTTTATTTGACTTTTGTCAAGAAGGATGACGTCGACGTTTGGTCAGAGTTTTTGTAAGGGATGGAGGGGAAGGTAAATGGTCGGTGAGGTTAGGAGAGAATGTTTAGATCACCTAATTTCTTTAAGGATGTTTTTACTTGACCCTAATTCGTCCCAGACCAGACCAGACCAGTTCAGATCAGATCAGATCATATCAGATCAGACCAGACCAGACTAGACCAGACTAGACAAGACTTAGATAGTTATAAAATACAAAGAAACCAGACCAGACCAGATCAATTCAGACCAGACCAGACCAGATCAGACCAGACCAGATCAGACCAGATCAGCAAATTACAGTCCAAGTAAAAACATCCTAAGTAAACAATGAGATAAAGGTCAGATGGATGCTCGAAATTGCATAAAAAGAATCAAATAAGTTCTTACTGTCCGGTCGTCACCATTTGGGGAGGTTCTTGGTGGAATTTTTTTATGAAAGTTTTTGAGCATCTTATTCATTAAGTCTAGTTTGCTTATACCAAATTTAAGCTAAAACTTCAATCGGGAAAGCATTCAAATGAATTCTTGAAGGTAACTGTGCTTTTAACTGCGCAGTTATCTTCAAGACTTCATTTGAATGTCTTCCTGATTGAAGTTTTAGCTGAAATTTGATATGAGTAAACTAGATTTAATGAACAAGATGCTCAAAAAAATCATTAAAAAATTCCACCGGAAACCGCCCTGAATGACGTAGGACAGACAGAGTCTCCTATATAAGCACTTATTTGACCCTTTTTATACAACCTCGAGGACCAATCTGACCCTTACGTCAATAAACAATTGAAAAAATAGATCATTTTACCACCAAATTTGACTGACACATTGTAGCACCGTCCCCAAGCATATTTACTTTTAGTAAATTATGTAATAAACCTTGAAGGATGAGTTATGAATTTACATAATTGTTAAATTTCATTATTTCTTTTACGTGAATAGTAAATTGCATGTGGGGCCCACAGCGGGAACGGGGACCGCCCGATAATTTCCGAACCACATATTATATTCATCTTGGTCTAGATGACATCTATATGGTTGTGGATATTTTATTTGGGCCATAGCAAAGGCACAGAGTTGACCGGTGGTCAAACGAGACCCAATTACCTGTATTGGTAATTTAGCGGTTAACAGCCCGAGATGAGTTTCGGAGACTCCTAAATTAATGTTGGGGAAAGTACATCTATTCTAAAGGCCCATAAGTATTAGGGACGCGTGATATATTTTATTGGACCCGATAAAATAAAATATGGTTAAAACAGTCCGAGAAATACAACTTTCGGGGCCGATTGTACACACTGGGACATAATGGGATGACCTCCCACATAAGTGGGGGCCACCCCACGTTTTTGTGTGCTCTAGTTGACTAAATGGGAGCTGGAAGAGCATCAAAACATGGTAGGGGTGGACTATTAAGTGAGGTGATGTGCAAGACAAACACCCACACCCTTTGGCCCATACTCCACATTATTTTGCTCTTTGATTGAGAGGGGATACTTCCTCCTTCCATCCTCACCATTCGGACAAGCCAAAGAGGAGAGAGCTCAAGAAGAAAGTCTCCAACAATGTCCAGGGTAGGAGGAAGCAAGAGGAAAGAAAACCCAACACAAAAAGGCTAAGATTTGAGGTAAGAACTTAGCTAGTATACATTTGATGGAGTATATGGGTCCAGGCCCCAGGACCCACATACTCAGAAGAACAGAAAGCACAGCCACCACGTGGTGCCCTCGTCGGTCAGAAGACCCTCGACGGCCGAAGAGGGACCAGCTCAGAATATGGTCCTGAAGCCAAGGAACCAGGGTGCCCTCGTCGGCCGTGCCCTCGTCGGCGAAGACCCTCGTCGGCCACGGAAGTCTCACAGAACCGGATTTTACACTTATTCATTGGTATAGCCCATTAGTAGCTTTGTATTCGGCCCAATAGCGGTCCAGTTGTAAATGGGCCTCCCAAGCCCAAGACTTGGGAGCCCAGCCCGTATTTTCCCTATAAATACTTCCTCTGGAGGTAGTTATCAGGGTGACCAAATCATTCTATTGAAGCATATATTACACGTCTCTCTCTAGCTCTCACTTCTCTCTAGAATATACTCTATCATTTGGTGCTCTCGTTGAGAGCTAGAACAATCAAGTTAGCACCCTTCGTCGCTACCAAGCACAGCTAACCACTGAACATGGGGAGAACTAAGTCAAACCGCAACCTCGTCAGCAAGGCCAACCCTGAGGACCAGGAGACCAGGGAGCACGAGGAGGATGTTACGGCCGACCAGATCGGCGGAGGGGACGTCTTCCATGAGGCCATCAACCTCACGACGGACCTCCGCAACCAACTCAACGGCGGAGCCCCTGATGCCCACATCGGCTTGGACAAGAAACGAGCTGAGAAGACAGACCACGCCCCGGCCCAGCCTATGGCCGCGACCTCTCCGTCTGTGGATCCACAAGTCCAAGCCGCACTGTCGGTCATCATCGCCAGCTTGGCCCAGAACCCCACCGTCCTCAGCGCTCTCTTGCCAAGGACTGGAGGGAACGTCACTCCACCTCCTCAGCCCCAACCGTTGGCCGTCCAGATAGGCAACGATGAGGGGGTGATGGCCCAGGACACGGCGTCGTCCCACTCCCACCCCGCTTCCCCTCTTCGGCCTGGGCAGACCCCAGCGCGTAGAAAAGCCTCTGCCTTCAATAGGCTAGGTGACACGTGCCGTCGTCCGGTTTCGGAGAGGATGGCAAGGCGGATTGGCGGGCGTCGGCCTGGCTCGCCAAGGGAAAGCTTGGGGTCTGTGTCCCGGACAGCGGACCAGCCCCGCCTGGACAAGGGCAAGGGAAAGTTGCACGAGGACGACGTGCGCCACCAGATCAATGCAGCCCACGACGAGCGCATGAGAAACCAGCAGGGTGCCGCTGCGGCCGCCAGGGACCCCTGGGACGAGGTCATCGCCCAACTGGAAAGGAGGCTGGCCCAAATGGAGGCCAGGCAATCGACAAACACCCCCACGGCCGGTGCCTCCAACGACCCTGGCCTCAACGCTCTCATGAACAAGGTCAGCGCCCTGGAAAGGGAGTTGGCCGAAGGACGAGGTGACCCCGTCATCCAGGTCAGGACCAGGACCCCTTTCACCAACAGGGTGCTCTCGGCCCCCATCCCGGAGAAGTACAGGGGAAACGCCATCAAGTCCTACGATGGCCGATCAGACCCCCAGGAACACTTCAGCCGTTATCAGAACAGCATGCTGATGGTGAACGCGTCAGATGAATACCTCTGCCGTTGGTTCCTCTCTACTCTTGAGGGACCGACGTATGAGTGGTTCAACGCGCTCCCTGAAGGAAGTATTGACTCATGGCAGGACCTTGCCCAATGCTTCCTCACCCACTTTGCCGGGAGGAAGCGCGCGAAGAAGTATTTCACCCATCTCCTCTCTGTCAAGCAGCAACATGATGAGTCCCTCCGGTCGTTCATTGATCGGTGGACGAGGGAGACCGAGGAGGTCGAGGGGGCCGATGAGCGCACCCTCCTCGTCCTATACCAGGGATCCCTCCGCAGCTCCCCGTACGCCAGGAGCCTCATCACCGATCCTCCAAGGTCGTACGCAAAGGCGCTCCAGCGCGGAAGCTTGTATGCCGACGCCGACGAGCTCCACAACCACAAGAAGGAGGGAGGCCATCCCTCCAAGAAGATAAATCCTTCGCCGGCCCCGGGTCCATCCCCGGCCGGCCAGGGTGCCCAGGGCCGTCACGGCTCTGGTGGACAAAGTAAGAAGGACCGCCACTGGCGGCCGAGGTTGGAACGGCCGGGGGTTGCCCTCACCCACCCGGTCGGCACCATCCTCGACTATGCCGAGAAACACGACCTCATCGAGCAGGCTCCTCGACCGGCCGAGGAGGTCCTTGCCATCCAGCAGGGCGGCACATACTGCCGGTTTCACAAGAACTCCTCGCACAACACCGACGACTGCATCACGCTGAAGAAGGCCATCGAGCGCCTTATTCGTCAGGGGGAACTCTACCAGTTTGTTAAAGGTGGCCCACACAAAAATACATGGGTGAACACCGGCAAACCAGGGGGCGAACCCTCCACGAAGAAGCGGGAGATTGGCAGGCTCAGCGATGACGAGGACTTCGAAGAGCCCCCGCCAAAGAAGAAACACATTCACCTCATTGTGGGTGGGAATACTGGGGGGACTCCGTCACCCAGAGAAAGAAATTGGCCCAATCCCTCTACATTGGGGAGGTGTCCCACGTTCCCCCCCCAGCCGAAGAAGCAGCGAACGGAGGCGATCACCTTCACCGACAAGGATTTGCCTCCGGGTACGGAATCACATAGGGACGCCCTCGTATCCGGTGTGAGATCAGTGACTCCATCATCCACCGCACTTACATCGATACGGGGAGCTCCGTCAACGTGATGTACCTGGATACCTTTAGGCAGCTGAAGCTGGACAGAGCACTGTTGAAGCCGATCAAGACACCGTTGTCCGGCTTCACCGGGGACTCTATCGACGCCGAGGGCACGGTAGTCCTCCCCGTGGAGGTCGACGACGACCTCCACCGTGCCAAAATTGACATGGAGTTCATGGTGGTCAACCTCCAGTGCGCCCACAACCTGATCTTAGGGCGGCCAGCACTGGAGGACTTGGAGGCCATCATTTCCATGAAGCACTTATGTCTGAAGTTCCCCACCAATGGCGGCATCGGCTGCGCTAGAGGAAACCAGAGGATAGCCAGAGCGTGCTACCTCAAGCTAACGAGGCCGGCCGAAAGGGAAGGACAGAGGATAGACACCATCACGGCAGCCGTTGCCAAGGACGAGGAGAGGCCGCATGATGAACCGGCCGAGGAGGTCGAGGAAGTCCCTTTGGATACCTCCCGGCCGGAGCGGGTCCTCAGAATCGGGAAGCAACTCCCGCAGGACCAGCGGGACGCCATCCTCCTCGTCCTACGATCATACGCCGTTATCTTCGCGTGGGGGCCAGACGACATGTCAGGTATCAGCCGCCAGGTGATCACTCACCGGCTGACCGTCGATCCAACCTCCGCGCCCGTCAAGCAGAA